ACCTCAAAACTGAGATGAAGAGTGTGTGGTTTGATTCCACTTATGAAACGGGTTCCAAATAAATGAAGGCTTATTGTCTATGGTTTTACTTGATTCTTCCAAAGGATATCCGAATAAAAATATTTTTCTCACACACCTAGTGAACTTGCTTGAAATGAATGAATGTATGTGTAAAAGAATGGCTCTCTTGTAAGGGATCTCCTCTTATTCCTTAAGGTCTAAGAGGTAAATCGAAAAGGGTCTAAGAGGTAAACCGAGAAGGTAAAGGTAAATCGGTAAATTTTCTTAAAGAAATGGTGATTAAGGTATATGTATACTTGTATATGTATGTATATGTATGATTATATGATTCTTTGTCTAAGTGTATTTGATATTCTATGGAATTCTCATTGAGACAATTGAGTCTCAAAGACTCATATAGGTGTTGAATTGCTTGTAGGATTACCCGATTTCGAGCCCGAGGTTCGTGGTTGAAGTTGAGTTCGTGGATCGGGAGAAGAGTTCATATGGAGGCATGGTGGATTTTGGGTGCTCTTAATATACTAATGTGGTTTTATTTGTACACTTTGCTTTTAAAGACATTCGACACCGTTTTAGGTGTTTATTATCGTTCCCTTCCGCCTATTGGAGGAACTTACTATTGATGCATAATGTGTAATGTGACATAGGATTAAGATTACCTATTTTGATATATGTTATGATAATTCCTCAAAAACTTATGTAACTTTAGGGCAAGTTTTCCTAAAATCCTTATAAAATGCCCATCGGCTAGTTATGTGTTGTGTTCTGCCTAGTAGTTTAATAATTCGTGTTAATTATCTCTTGTATACATTATTGCATGAAATTTTACAGAATCATAGGTCTATTTGTTAGGATCACGTGGATAGGTCTTTTGCATTATTTGGATAAGCCATGAATTAATTACGAATTGTTTACCAACTCTTCTCTGAAACAGAGTCATTGTAGTATTTACAACAAAATACGAAGTTTTTCTCACTCAAAAAGATTTATTCTACTTGGTATAAACTCCTAACTTACTAATGTACTTTAGTACAAAATTTTATGATTTTTGAGACAGTAGGGAATTTATAAAGATTTTTCAAAGGTCACTCCCCTGCTTTAGATTTTCAAAATGTATAGTTGTACCATTTTAATTATTCCTTTCAAATGGCTCAAGGTATTTAAAAACTGTTTTTACTAGGTTATCTAGGTCCTTATTAGAGCATGTGGTAAAAATTTCAAGTGCTTTTCATGAGCGGTTAGAGAGTTATTAATTTGTTTAATTGATAGATCGAAACTGTCCAATATTTTCTCACTTTGCTAAAATGGGACTTAATCTCTAGTCATGCATGCATAGTTTGTGAAATTGATTAAGTGAATGTTGTTTGGTAATATGTGGACACTCTTACTCTGATTCTAAAAGAAAAATTTTGTCGGAATTTTCTATTCCCGATTAATATATTTCAAAGTCTTCCGCTATCATATTATAAAATACTAATTAGGTATAACTAGAAAACGGGTGTCACACCTCGCTTAAATAATAGTTTCTCCCGGTCCCGATTCGGTGAAAATATATTAAATTATTAACTCGATAATTTAATAATTCGTTAAATTAATAAAATTTCTCCAGTCCCGACTGTATTAATTTATAGAGGTTCAACTGTACTTATACATCATTTATCATGTAATTTACAATCACCTCTCTGATGTAAAATGCAATTAAAAAAAACTCCTTTATTTTGAGAAATTACATTCAATGCCCAATACTTTGTAAATTTCTTACATCCAGGCCCCTCTAGTAAAGAGTGTTAATATAAGAAATCTACATAGTGCAAGGGGTTGAATGTAATTATGGAAAATGAGGGGTTTTTTCTTTGCCTCCCCCAATTTCAATCAATCTTAATTTTACCAACTTCCATTGCTTTTTTCAAGACTTTTGGGATAAGATGATTCCTTTTCTAACCAATCTAGTTTAAGTATTGATAATTACGAAAATCCCCTCACATTTATTTCCCAATACCTTTATTTACTTTATATATAAGGGCAAATGGCAAAAAGGCCCATCACATGGGACTTAAATGCATTTTAGTCCACAAAAAAAACACTCTCTCAATTAAGCCCATCCCCATGTCTTTAGTCTAAAATACCCTCAATAATATAATTCTTAACAATTCCACCCATTATGCTCTAACTTCCTTAATATTACACATTGACCCCGGATTTAAACAAATATATCACATTTACCCCCAAAACTTTTTTTTTTTCAGAAAATAATTTTTTTTCTGAAATATTTTTTTCCGGCCAGATTCCGGCGTTGACCGCCGGAGACCGCCGGTCTCCGGCGTTGACTTTTTTTTTTTTTTTTTTTTTTTGAAATTTTTTTTTCCTGACTTTTTTTTCCGGTCGGTCAACCACCGTTGACCGCCGGTCTCCGGCGTTGACTTTTTTTTTTTTTTTTTTTTTTTTTTCCTCATAAAAAATTGTTTTCCCTAAAAAAAAAAAATTTTTAATAAAGATCCCCGCCGCCGACAGCTAAATTCCCGCCCCAAACAGTAATTTCCCGGTTTGGGCCGGTTTTTTTTGGAACAAAGATTTTTCCGAACGGGAATATTTTTAAAATTGTTGTCTAAGACGGTTAAATTTCTTTTGGGGCCCGTATTTTACCCTCCAAGACGGTAGATTTAATTAAAACACTTTTTTTTGGAGGGGAAAAATTTAAAAAAAAAAAAAAGGGCCGTTAACGGTTAAATTCTGGCCCCCGACGTTTAAAAACCGGGGGGGGCAAGATTTTTAG